AAAAATGTTCGGTTCCGGTACCAATACCGGTACCTTCACTTCGATACCGGTTCCTGAACGATACTTTTTTCGATACCAGTTTTATAATATCAATTCGAAGAAAAAGAAAATTACACATCATAAAAAAGTACAAATCTTGAGTTTTATTTTAAGCTCTGATTTTTCCATTTACATTTTTCCTCTTACATAAAAAAAAAATTCAGTGTCTAATATTCACTGTTACATTGTGAGGACCTTTTTACTTAGCAGTTTTCCTTTAGAAAAATGACCATGTCTGACAAACAAGCCCGTTGAATGGGATCCTACTGACAGCGCACTGCTGGGATGGGGGGGTCTGAGCGGCTCCCACAGAAACATTGGAAGGCTGGATGAACTGACTGCACTGATTAAGTTTTCAGGTGGATTTTCCCACTTAAAAACATAATAAAACTACTTTATTCCTACTGATCACAGCAAATATAGCTGCAAGGCAAATAAAGGATAGAGTAGCTCCGCCCAACGCGCATCAGACACACTTTGTCACCGCGCAGCCAGAGCAGCAAAGCTGCTTCAGCCGCGCATCAGAAGCTGGTAGAAGCAGCAAAAATGAAGCAGCAGACGTGATTTTGCTGCTCCTGCTGCGTTCGGTGTAAAAGCAGCATGATTCTCTCCGCTCTGGCTTTGCTCTGCCCACGGGCTGCTGAGAGGAGGATGGTGGCGCCGGCTGCGGTCCGCTCTTCTTGCAGTCAAACACCGAGCAACTTTCTGCTCTTAAATTGTTTCCGTGCACGATGTATTGCACTGCGCACTATTGGCATCAGTCTAAATAAAGTGAAGCCGCACTTTTGACCTGGGGGGCATTTTAAAGGGGTTCCACGACGCTGCAACCGGTTCACAACAGATACACAGGAACCCTGGCTGTAGGCGGGACCACCTGTGTATTTTTCCTGGATGACGCAATCACGTTAAGTGTTACAGCCAATCACCGAAACTTGGTACCGAAAGACGAGGCATGTTTCGATACTCTGTAGAACCGAAGCATTTCGGTCGGTACCATAAAAGAACCGAAGTTCGGTACCCAGCCCTAATGGTAACACATTAAATGTAACGGTTATGGTTTTATTCGACGCTCTGGATTACCCATAATTCCAAGTCGCAGTGTAAAAAATAAAATACTCAAATACATCGTTCTTTTAAGATCTTTATTGCAGTTTGAAGCATATAAGTGTATTTTTTACCAACCGTCTAATGAACTATACACAGTTATTAATATAGTGATGGTGTCGTGTTTAAACGGCTCACCATCATGGTGAAATCTGCCATGTGTTGCTGTATAAATAAGATCCGGTCAGTCATCTTGAAATCGGGTGGGTTAAGAGAGGAACTTTTCGCACAATTACGTCTGCAATCAGACGTCCTAATTCAAAATTGCGAAGGCGCCCACCAGGTGTCAGTGACGGGGCCCCTGAGCAACTGCAGTTTCTGCTTACCTATATTTACGCCATTGCTCAGTACAGACATTTATACCTTACAAAATCCCAACACACACACACACACACTCCCCCCAGGGGAACCAACCCACCCCCTGCATAAAGAACTTTCTCACAGTTGAACATTTGGAGGAAAAACAACGTTAGTTCATCAAGGCCGTTTCCTGTCAGGTTAATCTATCTTCCACTGGTCAGATGGATCTCCTAATAACAGCAGTCCTCCCCTTTAAGCCATGAAGGAGGCTGTGACTCATTCTGACCTCTCATGACCTTCGTTTGGAGCCTGGGAGGCTAAAAACAGACACACCTCAACGTTTTTTACGCCACAACAAAGAAGAAGCCAAACGACCCCCATTCCAAAGGGGGGGACCCGTTCATCCGTTTCTATTTGCATGTTTTCTAAACTAAAACCAGGCTTTGTTGGGCTGCTGGATAAAACCTGGAACTAAACGCTATTTCTGACATTTTGGATTGAAAAAGCTTCCTGGATGGAAGAGAAACGTCTTTAAACTTGGAAACAAAGTCCAGAGGATTGATTTTAAACTTCTTTTGGAAAACTTGGTGAAAATTTTCATTTTTACCTTGAAGAAAATGCATGTTTGGAGTCCAATAGTTAATAATAAAAAAAGTCCAAGGAGGAGGAAAAGATTCATAATCCATGTTGTAAAACTTTTAAATTTGCACACATATATTTGCCCTATGGGTTGTACCTTTTAAACACTAATTATTCTAAAACAAACACTTACAGTTACCTTTTGTATCTATGCTTCTTTTTCTATGTCTGCTTCTGTCTCCTTGAACCCCAGCGGGCCTCAGCAGATGGCCGCTCACACTGAGCCTGGTTCTGCTGGAGGTTTCTTCCTGTTCAAAGGGAGTTTTTCCTCTCCACTGTCGCTACAAGCATGCTTAGTGTGAGGGATTGCTGAAGAGTCAATGAGTCGATGCAATCAGCTGGTCTTCCTTAGATAGAAAACTTTGAATCAATCTGACTGGATGATCTGGTTGAATTGTCTCTATAAAGTGACCTGAGATGACATGATGTGAACTGGAGCTATAGAAATAAACTGAATAGAATTGAGGCGGTGTGGAATCTATAGCAGGTGGTTCTACGCGGGTTTCTGAAAGTTACAGGTTCTTTTAAATTACTCTGAAAATCACACAGAAATGTAGAGATATTAGAACATTTAATCTCCATTTTTAACACTTAAGTACTTTTAAAAGTGAGTACTTCAATACATTCACTTTATGTTTCACTGAGTAACTTTTACCTGTAATTGAGTAAGATTTGACTGAATATTAATACTTTAACTATATTTTAAAGGCTTATTTTCTCCCCTAAATAAGCTCACCTCATACTGTGTGTTTAGCTCCTCAGTGAACAGAGGTGATCATAATTAGGTTCATTGTTTTTTGTTTTTACATGTTAGATAACCGTCTCAGGTAAAAGCTGTATTTATACCTGAACCTGCTTGATGTTTCATCCACAAATATCTCCCCAATAGAAGTGTTATTGTTCCCACGGTAACTTGGCTTCGTAAATACACACTAAAAAAAGTTACTGATGAGAGCTTACATAAAAAATAAGTTGCTTTCTCCCTTCAGATGGTTGTTAGTAAGAAAAACAGGTCCGTGTGGTTTTAAACGTGCTTCTGTGGTTTGGTTAAACGTCACATTTACTTGTTTTGTTTAAGAACATTTACCTCGAATGATTGGAGATGGTTTCTTAGATGGGAACTTTTATTCACTTCCTTTGCATCACATGGAGATAAAATCAATAAATTAGAACAATTGTTCCCGTGAGGCCAGGGGCGGATTTAGGAAATGTGGGGCCCTAGGCAAAGACAGGCAGGGGGCCCTCTGAATGGAGAAGACAGATAGAGAACTGTTAATAGAATAGACATCCATTATCTGTTCTAGGTTTTGTCCCTCTCTTCTTGTCCCTTCACTGGAAAAACTATCTAGAAATAAGTAAAAATGTCTTAAATTAACTGTATTTACCCTTAATTTGAGTAGGTAAAAGAGATGATTTGCGAATGAGTATTTTTACTCTTAAAATAAGATATTTAGATAAAACGCACTTGAAAATCAGCCAATGCAATTGTGTTTTTTTTTATTTTAAGTGCTAATTGTCTTGTTCCATTGGCAAAATGTCTTTTACCTCTTCAATCCAAGAACAAATGCACCTATTTTAAGAAAAAATTACTTATCTAGATTTAGATTTTTTTTCCCCAGTGTGTTGTTTTCCTCTCTATGTTTTGTACTCAGCTGACTTTTCATGCTGTCTCTAAAGGAATGAAAGATTTTTTCCAAGCACTAAGCTCACTTAGCTGATTGCTCCTTCCTGTGTTTCCAAAAAGGCCAAAGTAAATAACCCAGTCCTTCTTTTCCCTGTAGACAAGCCATGATCTGCTTATCTGTTCTCCATTTTTCATTTGGATGAAATAATAGCTGCATGAATCATGACAGCAGACAAGATAGAGGAGAGCAGGAGGCGGGGTTACCAATCTACTCGCTCTGGAGAGCAGAGTTCGCTGCTTTTAGATGTTGTCTCCAAAGTCTCCAGTAGCAGAAAAAAGTCTCTAGATTTGGCGCTAGGAGCTTTTTAGAAATCAAAGTGCTAGAGGGGTCTGAAAAGTGGCTAAATATAGCGACTAAAGCGCTAAGTTGGCAACACTGCTCTTTGCATGGTTTGTTTTCAAATGGTTTGCTGCTGTCTGTTTGGACCTTTCTGAACATGTGCAGCAAATGGACTGATCCAATATGGTGGACACTGAAGGGGGGAAATTAAATCAAAAACATAATTAATGTGGACAAATAAGGAACAGTTATATTAACCACACATGTAAACAGAGTTTTATGGCCCCCCCAGGAAATTTAGGCCCTAGGCAGCTGCCTAGGATTCCCTAATGGTAAATCTGCCCCTGAGTGAGGCTTTGTTTTCAGATTTAAAAATCTTTAAAGAGGTTTTTAAAATATTTATTTCAGCCCAAATTATTTTCTGAAAATGTTTTAAGCGTAATATTCTAATTCTACAAAACTTGTTTTCTTTAATTGGGAGGGAAAGTAGAATAGCTAACAGAAATATAGGCTTAAAAACACCAGTCATCATAATTAATCTGTGTTTAGGGTTTATCTTAACTTTAGTGGAGCTGCTGAAAAGTCCCTTAAATCTTTACAGACCAATTATATCACTAGTCGATCTGTTGTATCTGTAGTGATAAATGTTCACTAATCTCAGGCAGAATGAAAAGATTGAAATTTGTTCCCCAAATAATGGATCTGGGTGTAAATTAGCCACGGGGAAAGAAATAAATTAAGACTGTTAAGGCCCCTGTCACACCTGGCCTATCTATCCAGCGTATGTCTCCTAAAACGCTGGCATCCGCTGAACTTTCTATGCATTTTTACTATTTTGGGCGTAATCAAACAATAAGACTGTTTCATAATAAACTAAATGAATGATCTGTAAATAAATCTAATGAATGATCTTCTGGGAATAATGTAAGTTTGTTCCATCTGTCGTATCTTTAGTGCTGATGTGCTCAGCGGGTCAGTCGATGAACCGCTGGAGCCTGGAGGAGCTGGTGAAGAGAGATCCTGAGAACTTCCTCATTCTCCTGCAGCAGATCATCAGGAAAACCAGAGAGGTGATCTGCCTTGGATCAGTCACCCGGTGGAAGAATATCAATGCAACGCTTGCTAAAAGTCTCTGTTTGTCCCTCTGTGTGGATCCAGGCCCAGGAGCAGTGTCAGTATGAGCTGGTGCCCCCCCTCGCCATCATGTTCACCTCCACTCTTCTGCAGGTATGGCCTTTCCAAACCTAAATGTCATTCAGCCCAATAAACCCTTTTTCATTGTCAGAAAAACCATTCATTGTTTGAAACGCACGTAGAAAAGCTCTGCGCTGCAAAGGTCACTGACCTCAGTTCCTCTATTTAAACCACAATCAGGGCAGCTTTTAAAATGTTTTAGCTAAAGAAAAAAAAAATGAAAACCAGAGAAGCAAATGAACCCTTCCAAAAAAAGTTTTTTTTTTTTTTTTTAATCCACTGGTTTCCGAGTTTGAAGACGTTTCTCTTCCATCCAGGAAGCTTTTTCAATCCAAAATGTCAGAAATAGCGTTTAGTTCCAGGTTTTATCCAGCAGGCCAACAAAGCCTGGTTTTAGTTTAGAAAACATGCAAATAGAAACGGATGAACGGGTCCCCCCCTTTGGAATGGGGGTCGTTTGGCTTCTTTGTTAGCCTGCAATGCCCCATACCTGTCTACGGCCGTTTCTCAACATGTGTACTTGTGCGTTCTTGTGCGCTAGTGAAACGCCATAAGCCTCAGCCCTAGTTCCAAAAGCAGACAAAGTCCCCAGATGTTGTTCTGGCCCCTCCCTTTTTACCCAGCATGCATCGTTAGCCCATCTGCAGCGGCCAGGGCTAACGTTATCCCGTCTGTAGCGGCCAGGGCTAACGTTAGCCCGTCTGCAGCGGCCCTCTCTCTGCATAGCCGTGTGTGAAGGACCGCTGGCTCTGATGCCGATTTATTTGGCAAAATGTTCATATTGATTTGTGTTTATCTGAATGTGTTCATCATTATTCCGCCACTAGATGAAAAAAGTAATAATCTATTATTATCTAGAGACTATTAATAACAGGAGGTGAAATGCAGCTCCACATGAGCCGGGCATGTGGTGATGTCATCAGTACGCCAATTGATCCATATTTATGCTGCATGCTCCCAAAGTCCAGACTTTCCTGGGTTCTTCTGAAGGACAGACATGGCGAGAAAACGAGTCCGTTCTAGTGAAATGAGAAACGGCCTTTCTCATAGCCGTTGACCTGGCTATGAATTGAAAAAGCTTCCTGGATGGGAAGCTAAACGTCTTCAAACTTAAACAAAGTCCAGTAGATATATTTTTTAACTTTTTCAGAATGACTATGACCTGGATGACTGACGATCTTCACCAGCAAAGGAATAATGTTCAGCTTTATCATTTAATAGCTTTTACCATCAGAGGCTTAATGCCAGACAGTAGCTGGTGGTTGATTGTCCCTGGATTTCACTTTGCTTTGTGCTTTGATTGCAGACTCCGTACTGCCCCCCCCACTCTGAGCTCCTAGAGGAAGCCCTGGAGGTGTTTTACAGCTTCCTCACTTGGCCCGAGCCGTACTGCAGTGTGTGCAGGGAGCTCCTCTCCATGCTGCAGCTGGAGATCAAGGCACCTGGTGAGCATGAAGGAAGCAGCAGGAGAACACGCCCTCTAGGTCTCTGGTAGGAGATACGCATCTAGGAGCCAGAGGTTGCACGCTGCAGCCGCAGAGAGGGAGGATGATGTCACAGCCTCAGGATTCATGGGAACTTCTTCTTCTATGAAAGAGGATGTAACGGTTCCCCCTGACGGAACCAAAGAAATAGGAACTGTATGTAAAGTTTAGCAGAGCAAACTGCAGCAGGGACACAGACACCGCAACCATTACAATAACTGAGCATGAATGAATGTCAGTGAATATATTTGCCCTATATGGCTGTGCTAGCCTCACTCAGACCAGGTTACTGCTAAAAAAGACTGAATAAAGCGCATCTTAGCTGATTCTACGTCTTTTTCTCACTTTTCTTGCAGGAATTTCCTTTCAGAGGCTGGTTAGAGAAGAGCAGGGTCTGAACACCCCCGACCAAACTTCAAAGACCATGTAAGTCCAGCCTGTAGCTGCTGACCTCATCCTACAGCGAAATACAAAACCAATCCTCCTGAGGCAGCGAATTCTGAAATGCACATCAGAATCCCAGTTCTCTGCAGTCTTTGTCACGTGGTGAAACGTTACGACTGCAGATCAAATGCTGATCTCATGTGATAGACCAGCAGCATTGTTTGTTTTTTGTTTTTTCCTGTCAGATTTTCCAGGAAGTAGCCATAGGTCAGTGTTTTGTCGGAGCGCCTTTAGGGTCCAAACCTGTCGATTTGTTTTTCAAGTTCTTTAGCTGAAATTCCCTCAGATTAGGTGAGGAGCATCATCATCAGACGGCAACTTCTAAATCTTGTGACTGAATTTCTCTGGGATTCATGTCCGGACTTTGACTGGGCCATTCTATCACATTAATTAATTTAACTTTATTGATCTCATATTCGAGAGATTTACTGCTGCATTTAACCCATCCACAGTGGGCTGCCATTGTGCGGCGCTCAGCAAGCAGTGAGGAGTTAAGGGTCTTGCTCAGGGACCCAGAGTCGCAGTCTGTGGGAGTGGGGCTTGAACTCAGAACCTCAGGGTTCCAAACTCTATGCCCTAACCACTAGGCCGCTCCCCCATATGAAAATTGAATCCATCGTTTGTCGGGCTGAATTGTTGTTTTTGTAGACGTGTGAAGCGTGCGTCCTGCTTCTTGGCAACCAGATTAAGCATTTAAGTAACAGCTGCCATGCTAACAGGTTCTCCCACCTGAGCTATGGAGCTCTGCAGCTCCTCCAGAGTTGCCATGGTGCCGATTAAGCAGCCCTTCTGTCAGACCAGCATACCCATAGTCAAAACCCGTTTATCGCTTTAGTTTATCTTTTTAGTTTTGTACTAAAAGTAAACTTTAACGTACCTCAACCTGCGCGTATCTACGGAAGAGGATTAGGGCCACTGGAAAAAAAACAAAAAGTTAAATGATTTTTAAAAATATTTTTCAATTTAACATGGGAAAAAAGTCAGAATTTTGACTTTAATCTCAGAATTGTGGATCTTAATGTAGATGGGCCCCATGAAGGCAGAGATGTGGAGCACTCAGCTTCACTGACAAAGATGTGAGTTGTTTGAGGTGGCCAGTGACACATTGGTGGAAAATGACGGAATTAGGCAACTTTTTCCGTGCCCGAGGGGTCCCCTCATTAATGGAGGAGCAGAAGGTCATTAAAACAAGAGAGCTAGTCTCTAAAACAGACATGGCTATGGCTGGATGCTAACATGTTTGTTAGCTGTCAGAATTCTGAGATTAAAGTCAGAATTCTGATAAAAAAGTCAGAATTCTGAGATTAAAGTCAGAATTCTGAGAAAAAAGTCAGAATTCTGAGATTAAAGTGAGAATTCTGAGAAAAAAGTGAGAATTCTGAGATTAAAGTCGTAATTCTGAGATTAAAGTGAGAATTCTGAGAAAAAAGTCAGAATTCTGAGATTAAAGTGAGAATTCTGAGAAAAAAGTGAGAATTCTGACTTTTTTTCCCATATTAAACTGAAATAAAGTTTAAAAATCAGTTAAGTTTTTTTTTAATCATAATCCTCTGCCGTACGTCTTCCTTTATATGTAAAGAAACCAAACAATTTAAGTTCTTACTTTTTGGTGTTTTTTGAAGCGTACGGCGATCTGAGCTTAAATTGTCAACCTTAAACTAACGAGGTTTTTCAAGAGGACTTTCTTACTTCAAAATAGATTCAAACAAATTTTTACCCGCTGATCACAGCTAATATAGCTGCCATTGTTCCAGGCAGAGAAAGGATAGGGTAGCTCCGCCCACCGAGCATCAGACCCACTTTACTACCGTGCAGCTAGAGCAGCAAAGATGCTGCAGCAGCAGCGTCAGAGCTAAACTAGTACAAGCATCAAACATCAAGCAGTCCATGCGTTTCTGCTGCCCCTGCTGTTAGCGGTCTGAACGTAGCATGATGGAACTCTGTCTGATCAGATGTCAGATTGTAGAAGTAATAAAGAGACCCGCTGCTCTTGTTGTTCTCGTAAACTACCTGCACTGCAAAAAAATGAAATCTAAATAAGTCATTTCTTCTTAAATGAAATGCATTTTTTCTTGAATTAAGGATTTAAGTGAGACACTTTGCCAATGGAACAAGACAATTTACACTTAAAATAAGAAAAAACAATTGCATTTTCTTATTTCAAGTGCATTTTATCTAGATACCTTATTTTAGTAAAAATACTACTTCCATTGGCAAATCATCTTATTTACCTGCTCAAATTAAGGGTAAATAGCCTTAATTTAAGACATTTTTACTCATTTTGAGATCATTTTTGCAGTGTGTTAGTATCTCCTGTTTTCGGCTCCTGTTGGCTTCACTTCCTGATGTCTCCTGTGTGTTGCTGACAGGACTGTGCTGTTAATGAACCCAGATGAGGTCCCTGCTGACTTCCTCAGCGTGGCCGAACAGCTCAGCCGCATCCAGCACTCGCAGAAAGACACCTACATCACCCTGATTAAACACGCCTTCCAGTCCACGCTGGGAACCCAGTATCCCCTGCAGAGCATCCACAAGGCCCTGGAGGTAGGCCTGACCCAGACAACCAGAAAAAACATCAATTTAATGTTTATTTAGTTTTTTCTCTTTAAGAGCAATGAATAAAAACAGAAATATCTTTTATTGTTGCAGCCAAAGACCGTTCATGAGCTGAAGGAGATTTTTTCCTCGCTGAGCGACATCTTGGAGATGGCCGCCATTATGATCGACCCAGAACAAGCTCGCTGTCATGTGGTCCAGGAACTGGAGAGTTTGAGGAAGGCGCTGAAGATCCCTTCTTCTAATGGGAGAAGGTCTGATGGTAAGAGGAGGGGTGATGCTCAGCAGGAGGGCAGAGGGGGTTTTTCTACTTAAAGCAAATTTAGGTCATTTTATTAAAACGTTTGCAATTTGGTTGGGCTGAAAATGGCATCTTAGCTGTTCTATGAGCTCGAATGCAGCCTGGTTAAAAGCCCTAGAATGAAACCACAGGTTTTTTTTTCTTTTTATGGTTTGATCATGAATATTTTTGCATTCTATTACAACTTTAAATCAAAAGTCCGTTTAGCAAGGAATAATCAATGGATCATTATTTATCCCTAAAACTAATATGTTCGCAGTGATTTAATGAATTTAGCGTTAATCAGTGAAAAACTAAAAATAATTTTCCATCACTGAGTCTGGGAGCGGCCATTTTTGCCCAAATATAGTAGCCCCTCCCTCCTGCCATCTTCCAGCAGTGACGTCACGGTGCGGTAAGCCTAGCGCCATTCTCCCCTCTAAACTGATGTTTGTTTTTAACAGTGTGGGGCACGTTACTTTGAAAGAGTAATTAGTTATAGTTACTAGTTACTTAGTTCACTCAGTTACTAACTCAGTTACCCAAAAGGTAACTGAGTTTGTAACTGAGTTACTCCACAATAAAAGTAACTAGTTACCAGAGATGGCAAAAGTACTCACTTTCCGTACTTGAGTAAAAGTACAGATACTTGTGTTAAAAAATACTCTGGTAAAAGTGGAAGTACTGATTAAACTTCTTTACTCAAGTAAAAGTAACAAAGTACAGGCTTGTAAATTTACTTAAAGTATAAAAGTAAAAGTAGAAACCACTTTTTTCATGCCGTTGCCTACATTTTAAATGGATGTCTGCCAATAGGACTAGATCTCCGTTGTGTTCATTTTCAATCATCTCGTCGTCCATGCTACTATGCTAACGCCACCGCCACCAAGCTGCAATGATTTGCCGCCAATGAATACCGCCGAATCTGTCGATTCATCTTGTAGTGGTGCCATAAAAATAAGTAGTAAAGTAAAAATATCAGAAAAATCTACTTGAGTACACTGAGTACACTGAGTACACACTACTTGAGTACACTTCCCATCTCTGCTAGTTACTAGTAAAAGTAACTATTGCGTTACTTTTGCGAGCGTATGAAATTAATAACTTAATAACTAATTCTGAAATCCTGTGTTTGGGTTGTTATAGATACTGCAACATGTAGCTATATCTATCTATCTATTCCATCCATCCATATTTCTCTCTTTCTCCATATAGGCTAATGATCGTTCACGCTCTCCAAAGTTCCCCCATGGCGCGAACACAGGGCGCCTTTAGCTAGCATGCGCGTTTCCTGTCGCTAGCGCGGTGAATCGTGCCGCCTGCGCTGTGCGGAGATGCAGGGGAAACCGTATCTGATGGGGAAACGCAGCTCGACGTAACACCGGTATTTCCATGTGGAAAACGCTGTTTTGCTGCGGGAGTCCTCCTCACTCTCCATCCTCCCCTCTCTCATGACGCGCGCACGAGTACTATGATGAAAAAAGGTTAATTGTGCGACCTGAGTAACGCGCAGTAACGGGGTGTCGGCAATTGTAACTGCGTTATAGTTACAGTAAGAGTAATCATTTTGATTACTGGTTACTAAAAAAGGTAGCGGCGTTAGTAACGCCGTTACTTTCAACGCCGTTACTCCATCACTGGTTTTTAATCATGAATCTTAAAGGAAATAAAAATCTGATTAATCTGATTTGGTAGGAAAACAGAGATTAGATTTTCATGTTGCAGCCTTAGTTTGATCACATTTAATCTGACTTCCTCTCATCCTTCCTAGGAATCCTTCAGACGCTACCTTTGCCGACAGCCAAAACCTACACGTTCCACTGGGAGAAGGATAACTTTGGTAAAATCTGCAGCTTAGAAAGTCAGAATGAAATGATGCTGCTGATTTTGGGTGTGATTAATTTATTTAGTTTTATTTTGTCATTTGAACAGATGTTCTGCACACGCTTCTGGAGCGTGATGTGGACGAGTTTGGCACCAGCGAGCAGCAGGAGGCGGTGGAGGAGGAGAAGGAGGCCGGATTTTATTCCCAGCAGGATTTGACAGAATACGACGAGGAGAGCGGAGCGGTGGATTCGGCACTAATTGTGGCCAACAGCTGCAACAGCAGCCACCGTGTCTCCACCTTTTCCACCATCTCCTCCCTGTCCACCACCTCCAAAGACTCCATGTACTCCACCTTGTCTGTGGCGTCCGAGTCCTACCCCCCCTCCATCTATTCCGGGGTGGACAGCGACTACTTCGAAGACTCCGACGACTACATCAGCTCCTCTCCTGTGGCGGAGAAATGCTCCCCCAAGTCCAGTAAGGTTTCCACCCGCCTCAGCCAGCACTTCCACCGGCTCTTTATCAAACCCAAGAACCCCAGGATGCTGTCCAGGGCGAAGAGCCTGGGAAACTCTGAATCCAAAGACATCCTGGTGGTGCGGGAGACGCGCTCCAACTCTCTGCCGCAGCAGGTCCGGCTGTTTAGCTCCGACTCTCTGCCCAGGCCTCAGATCCAGGCTCTACGACACGTCTGCTTCCGGAGGAGGCCCATTCTGAGCAGCGATGAGGACAATAAGAACACCACGCTAAGAGTGGTGGTGTTTGGTGCCGATCACGTCGCCGGGAAGGTGGCCCGAGCCTACAGCAGCCTGAGGAAGAACGAGAGCGCGTGTCCGCGACTCACCAGAGCCTTTAACCTGCAGTTCTACTTTGTGCCGGTCAAGAGGGATCCGGGATCAGGACATCGAAGGTCCTCCACCCCTTTGGTCCAAACCGGATCTCCAAAAGGATCCGGCCTGCTCCTGGTGAGTGGAAGCCAACTCTTCAGCATCTAGGAAATAGAAATAAAAAAGGGAGAGTCCCTGATTCAAAGCGAACGCTTATCTGTTCTGAATTACTTCCTCAACCTGCAGAAAGATGAGGGGGAAAAAAAGCCTTTTATGAAATGCAAATGTGAGAAAGTTTTCCTCCAGGAAACAATGATAATCATTTTTATTCACAGAGTAAAGTTACATTTACAGCGACTCAGAGTCCTGCAGACGCTTTATCAAGCATATGCCTGACGTCCCAGAGTCTCCTAAAACACTGACATACGCTGAACCTTCATTGTATTTTTATTATTTTGGGCGTATACGTAGTCTTCATCCTCTGACATGGGAGCTGGCTCGGAGCTCGTCTGCCTGGCTGTGTGTTTCCTGGACGGGGCCGCCTGTGGAGCTGGTTGACAGTTGCCTTTTGTATCTATGCTTCTTTTTCTATGTCTGCTTCTGTCTCCTTGAACCCCAGTGGGCCTCAGCAGATGGCCGCTCACACTGAGCCTGGTTCTGCTGGAGGTTTCTTCCTGTTCAAAGGGAGTTTTTCCTCTCCACTGTCGCTACAAGCATGCTTAGTGTGAGGGATTGCCATAGATGGCAAAAGTACTCACTTTCCGTACTTGAGTAAAAGTACAGATACTTGTGTTAAAAAATACTCTGGTAAAAGTGGAAGTACTAATTAAACTTCTTTACTCAAGTAAAAGTAACAAAGTACAGGCTTGTAAATTTACTTAAAGTATCAAAGTAAAAGTAGAAACCACTTTTTTCATGCCGTTGCCTACATTTTAAATGGATGTCTGCCAATAGGACTAGATCTCCGTTGTGTTCATTTTCAATCATCTCGTCGTCCATGCTACTATGCTAACGCCACCGCCACCAAGCTGCAATGATTTGCCGCCAATGAATACCGCCGAATCTGTCGATTCATCTTGTAGTGGTGCGTCAAATGCAACGTAGATTCCCATCCAATTAGATTGAATTTGGTATTGATGACGTGAAAAATAATAACGGTAACTCCATTGAGATGATTCAAAACTAAAGTAACGAGACAATTTTTTTAAATGTAAGGAGTAGAAAGTACAGATATTTGTGTAAAAATGTAAGGAGTAGAAGTAAAAAGTCGCCATAAAAATAAGTAGTAAAGTAAAGTAAAAATATCAGAAAAATCTACTTGAGTACAGTAACTAAGTATTTGTAGTTTGTTACTTCCAATCTCTGGGGATTGCTGAAGAGTCAATGAGTCGATGCAATCAGCTGGTTTTCCTTAGATAGAAAACTTTGAAATAGATATAAACTGAATAGAATGGAATTGAAAATAAGTAAAAATAAGATAAAATGTCCAAAGTGGTAAGTAGGTCACAGGTTGGGAATCACTGCTCTAAACAATCAGAATAAACTCAATTTTTCACGAAATGAGACCAAACTTCTGTCTTTGCTGTTGAACTGCTGCCCATTGTAGCGGGAAATAAGTATTCAACTATTCACCCCAGTTATATAAATGGAGACTGATGGATTTCACTCAGTTGGTACTTTATTTTCTTATCTTTGCAGAGAGAACGCAGTCATCATACAGCCCTTACTTGTGTCAGAGACAAAAACAAATTACACACATTTGAATAAACCTTGAGAAACAATTTGGCTTGTCGTGGGAATAAATATGTTTTATCTATTTGCTCCGCATATCCATCTGGAAACCTTCCGTTGAAGTAATTTTGGGAAGGGGCGAAAATACTGGTTAGCTGATTGGCCTATGTTGGTGATAGACGGGCCAAATAAACCAATCAGATCAACGAAGCATATGACGTACTAACAGAGCGACGACGAAGAGGAGCCAATTGATAGATCAAACTCTTGCCGAAACCAGTCGGGAGAAGAGCAAAAACATCTTTTCCTCTGAGAAAAGCCTCCAGAGCAGTGTTTTGCTCTTCTTTCAGTGAAGAAATACTCTGTAATTCCCATAAAACTTGCTCGATAGCCACGCTAACGCTAGTTTCATCGGCTGAAGCCGCCATGTTCTTTAGACTGAACTGTCGCGCTTCTCGTTGCGTCACACCTCAACCCGCCTCAAAGCCAACGCTGATTGGATGTTCGTTTGGTGAACGGCTCCAAGTTTTCTTTAACGGAGAGTCTCCAGACTGATTAGCGAGTGAAACCTTGAAAGCTCGCGAGATCAGGATGGTCTCACCAGGCTACATCCTAACAGGAAGCAGAATGATTTCAAACTGTAGATGAAACATGTTGATCAGCAGGGTTTGTAATTGCAGGCTGGTGTGAAAGAAGGCGTGTGGTGCCGTAGGGTTCAGGACTTCCTGTAGGTTATACTGGGACACCGAGGTAATCCCAGTATGCGCTGGGAGCTCACAGTCAGCCCAGCATAGAACCAAAACAATAAAGCCAAGAGCGAGCAGCTCCTTGGAGAGGCCGTGTTGCTTCTTCTCTTTCTTACGAAGTGAAAGTGAACTAATGCAGGTTTTTACCACCAATCAGGAGCAGGACCGCTCAGGTGACAGCACTAACGACATCGCACATCTCCTGGGCATGTTGGACCCCTGGTACGAAAGAAACACCCTCAGCCTCCTGAAGCTGCCCACCAACGTTGTCTGCCAGGTACGTTTGTTCTGTCGGCTTCAGTCAGCTAGTTTTTATGATGGAATCTATCTGGACAGTTAACTGCTGAAGTTTCCAGAACTATTCCCACCCTTTAAACTCTGCTCTGATCTTCCAATGTTTCAGCAAACCTCAAAAACCGAGTCGGCGTCCTACGATAGCTCGTATGAGCAGCGCCTGCCCATCCTGGCCGACCTGGTGCTGTACTACTGCCGCTACGCAGCGCGTCCGGCTCTGATCCAGCTCTACCAGGCCGAGGTAATGGACCGCGTTGCTCATGTTAGTCTTCGCTGAGGCATTTCCCAGCCATCATGTTTTCTATAGGCTTAGACTGCTGGAGGACATAGGGAGCCCTTTTTCATCATTCTGCTTCATTCTATCTCTATTCTCCCACTCTGCAGAATCTGTTAGTTCAATCTCTAACGTTCTGCTCTCTCTGCTTTTTCTCATAGTAGCTTCATCTGGTCTGTTCCTGTTTGGCTGTGACTCCATCCTGGAGAGAAATATCAGCTGTGCTGCTGCCATCAACACCTTTGTTTCTAGATGTTGGAGCTTGGCCTGTTTTCCAGTGTAGTCCTGTTTCTCTGACTGTGACTAACTGGATGTGCTCTCTTCATCCTCTGACATGGGAGCTGGCTCGGAGCTCGTGTGCCTGGCTGTGTGTTTCCTGGACGGGGCCGCCTGTGGAGCTGGTTGACAGTTGCCTTTTGTATCTATGCTTCTTTTTCTATGTCTGCTTCTGCCTCCTTGAACCCCAGTGGGCCTCAGCAGATGGCCGCTCACACTGAGCCTGGTTCTGCTGGAGGTTTCTTCCTGTTCAAAGGGAGTTTTTCCTCTCCACTGTCGCTACAAGCATGCTTAGTGTGAGGGATTGCTGAAGAGTCAATGAGTCGATGCAATCAGCTGGTTTTCCTTAGATAGAAAACTTTGAATCAATCTGACTGGATGATCTGGTTGAACTGGAAAGTGACCTGAGATGACATGATGTGAATTGGAGCTATAGAAATAAACTGAATAGAACTGATTCTGTACTTTGCTCTGCAGCTGATGCTGGCGTGTGGAGAGAGGAGGACGGAGGTGTTCGTTCACTCCTTGGAACTGGGTCACACGGCGGGAACGCGAGCCATCAAGGCCATGGGTGAGCCTGGTTGCTCCTAGCAACCTCTCCTCATTCTGTTGTTAAATACGTCGCTTATAGAAGACGAACTAAGCACATCCCTTCTAATCCTACAGTCTATGCTACATTTCTAAACAGATGTAAATGTCCAGCGAAAGTTGCACTTGAGCTGGAAATGAATGATCTGACATATTTTTTTATTTTGGTTCAATAACTAGCTAGATTAATAACGCCGTGGTTGACGGTGCTGTTGGTGTGAACGTAGACCTGCTTTCTGTTCCAGGTGCCGCCAGTAAACGGTTCGGAATTGACGGCGACCGAGAGGCCGTGCCCCTCACCCTGGACGTGGTCTACAACAGGGTAAGGCCTCCTGGGTTAGAACTGCAGCACTGCTCCATGTCCTGCCCTGAATACTCAATTTCTTCCCACAGCAAGAGAGCAAAATATTACGGTTTTAATGAATCTCCTCTTTGGAAGAAAATCAGCTGGTTTCAGTTTTTGTCATTTTTGCTGAACTGAATTTCTTATTTCTTTTATTGATCTCAAATTGGAGAAATTCCCACTCTGCATTTAATCCATCCCCCGGGAAGCAGTGTGGGGTTAAGGGTCTTGCTCAGGGACCCAGAGTGCAGGCTGTGGGGATTGAACCAGGCACTTGCAGCTTTCTCAGAGCGCAGCGCTCTGCTCTAACCACTAGGCCGACACTCCCCCAACAAATAAATCATAATATTTGAACTTAACAGAATTTATCAACATCAATAATTGAACTGGTGATTGATTGGTTGGTTGACGGTTCATTGATTGGTGTGTTGATTGGTTGATTGGCCGATCACAGTATCTGCCTAACGAGCTGCAGTCTCTCCTCACTGAGCTCGGATGCTTTCAAGACTTTTCCTAAATCAGCTGATTTTTCAGCTCGGTTGACAGATGACCAGCTAAGAAACTATTTTATCATCTTTGTTGTTTTTCAACCACGGCTAAAAGCCTCTGAGTCCGGCTGAGTCCTGCTAGAAGACTCAATAGTTGTTGCTTTTTAATGTCAGCACCTTTCATGGAGGAAAATATTTTTATCAGGACAGATTTTAGTGTGAATCTATATTTAAGGCTCTAAAATGATCAATATTTTATTTAATATTTGAATAAAAGCTCCTTCCTGACTGTGGATTCATCAAATTATACATTCCATGCATAAATATTAACATCCTACCTTTTAGTTGAATATTAGTGTTTTCTTTCTTAAATTTCCCAACAATGTATTTCAGTTCCACTCTAGCTCCACCTAGTGGTAGAGCAGTATCCCTCCTGTGGAACGGCTGAACATCATGCTGCTGTGTGCAGCATGACTCTGCCTCATTGCTTCCTGTCTCCAGCATCCAGCGTCTGTTTTTTAGAAACCTTCCGTCTCTTTCAGGTGGTGGTCAGTGGAAGAAGTCAGTGGAGAAGAGAAACCAAGGTCTGCACTTCCGTAAACTTGATCAAAGCGTGCAAGAACCCAGAGGAACTCGGTAAGTTGGTGCCTGATGCTATAATGTTTGAAGAAAACACGCAGATTTAAGTTTTTTATTTAAAAAAAAGCCTGCATCCTTTTCCTGTTCAGCTTTTCATCCATCAGACTTTTGTTTTAATAGTTTCTATATGATCTAAAATTGATGGTTGTTACTTATTTATTGATTATACACAATTTTTTGGTATTTTAAGTGCATTATTATTGTCTAACAATAGGGAAATTCTTAATCTCAGTAACCCTGGATATTTAAAAAACTATTTTTTATTTAGTTTTCTACTACATACAGTCTAATTAAGCAATTAAAAATCAGCGGGTCTGAATAAAGAAAATCATCAACCAGTAAAGGTCCAGAGACATTTTTAATTATAATCCGTTATTTTAAACAGCATTTAACACTAAAATAAAATAAAGGTTTTTATGCGTCCGTTTTATACGTTGAATTTTTAAATAAAAATATTTAAAAAAGGAAGTTTTTCCTATTTTAAGATCTAAATTGTTTTTGACTTAGACAACAACAATCGTTCAGTTTGGTTTATAGATAATTTCCTGATTCCCATATTTTATCAAACACCTGAGCTGATCGTTTTTTTCCCTTTTTATGGCTTAAAGTCATAGGGAAGTCATATTTAAATTTCAAAATATGGCTTAAACATGTATATAAATGTAATCTTATCAGACGATATTATCCCATTTGTTGATGGTTTGTTATTTTCTTTCTTTTTTCTGTCTTAATGTTGGCAGTGGGCTTTAGGCTGCCCTGCAAGGCTTTAAACCTGGGTTTAACCGGAGACTAAGCCATTCTCAAGCACATATCAAGGAGCTCATTTTGAGCCTGGATCCAGATTTATTGTTGATTCTGTTCATGGTGGAGAATCCTGCTTCACAGCAGCAGGTTGAGCCAAACATCCTCTAAATGTGCAGGGTCATCTTTGAGCACGCCATTTCACTTTTCTTTCACCAGTTCACCGCAGTTCTTCCAGCAGTCCACACTTTCTCTGCTCTCTTTTTCTCATGGTCTTCTCCTTCTTTCCCATCGCCCGGCTTGCGTCTGTCTGTAGCTTTTTGTCTGTTATAGCAGCTCATGTTTCCTCTCAGAGGTTTATCCTTTGAAATAAATAGAAATTCAGCTTCCAGTCAAACTGCAGGTTTGACTGGAAGCTGTTTTCTAGAGAAAAATACGAGACTAAAGTGTCCCAAACAAGGAGTGATGCAGCTGAAATATAGATCACGATGTGAGCCATTTGTTTCAGTCTATATAGGTATCAAAAAATACTTATGCTTTTCACAGATGATAAAATCTGTGTCTGACGGCAGTGAGAAAGATGAAGGAGCAACGTCCCTCCAACTGACTAAATCCAGCTGATGAACCTGTTTGGCTTGAAGGGACTAATTAATTGGTTAACTTTCTGTTACTGGAAATAAAGGGAAATGCAAAAATATTCAGCGCACTAAGCACTTAAAATCTGTTGGTGTTTCTTTAAATAATATAGATAGCACCATTATAGATGTTAAATTTAGGGTGCTTTTGTTATAGCAGCCATAGAAAAGATCTGTGCAAATTATAAATATCTGCTGCCTGGATTAATTAGTATTATTTTATCTTTAGGATGAATGATTCTGTGCTGTTTTCTAGCAGCTTTTGCTTTCAGTGTTTAGAATTTAAGTCAGTATTACTAGGTTTTTTTAACCTCTTAAAACTCACCTAATTTGAAGTGATCCTCGTCAATTTTGCATACCCAAATGGAGAAGCAAATAACTGAGGAACTGTGAGCCCGAATTACATGTGTGATAAATTATTTGAAAGCTAACACCTTCTAGTTTCTGGAAATGTAGATGAAAATAGTGAGTAAAACACAACCTAAGCTGCATCACTTCAAACATGAATCCAAGTTGGGTTTTTTTTCTTAATACCTCGTACATCAAAATACGTCTTTTTTTAAACTGCAGTAATGAAGAAGGTGCTTGAGAAAATTCAGGTCTCATTCTATTCCATTTGTTCTACATCATGTCAACCACATCTGCAGATAATTTCACACCTGTAGCTCCAACAGTTCCAGAGCTGCGGGGTTTTGAACTTTTGGTGCCACCAGCGTCTCCAAATTGTGCCAAATTGCTTTATTCAACTATCTGACCCATAGAATAAAACATTTATGATGCAAGAATCAGTATCTATAGCAAAATGTAACATTTATAAACCTAAAATCACATAAAGGTCTATAAAAATGGTACAACTGTCTCTTTAAGCTAAAATCAGCCCCAGTGCCTTTTCTGAGCTGTATTTTGTTTTTGTTTTTCAGCCTTAGGCATTGTAATAAAACATAATCCAAACTTAAAATTTAGTTATTGGTCTTAACCACTAACCAGTGCAATTAAATAGTAGTGAGTAAAAATAGGAAAACAAACTGCTGAGAAATCTTGTCAAACAGAGAACCATCATTTTCTGAATAGTTTAGTTGTTTTATGGAATTGCATTAAATAAATAAAAAATAAAATCTGTAAAAGGCGGGTGCAGAGCTGCATTGGTTTCATTTTTTTCACGTCTGTGTAAAAAATGGCCTTGAAGTGTGAGAAAGTTTTGTCAGAGGAGGAAGTGTGCTAAATGTTTCCATGAAACTGTGTCAGATTCAAAGATGGAGTGTCTGCAGCTCACCATGACCGAGGTGCTGAAGAGACAGAACGGCAAAAGCAAGAAGGGCTACAACCAGGTAAGCTATGACGTGACATCAGCGTGTCTCTGTGGTTTCTAGTCCCTGGCTAGTCATTGGCTAGTCCTTGATGGGTCATTGGCTAGTCCTTTGCTGGTTCTTTGCACTAAAATATTTTTTCTGTCATGATGTGTGGACATTAAGATCTAAAGAGAAGCGCCATCTTCTGGTCAGACCCTGTAATTCAGTGAAAAGGTGGAGTTAGAGTAAAATAATATGCACGCCCAGGAAAAGGCAAGTTGCTGGAAATTGGAGGGGATTTGGGTGACATTCTGCTGGGTTTTTTGACTGGAAGGGCCATTTTGAGCGGCTGCTACTGTAATTATAGTCTGACACAAATCTGTGCATCAGTTGCCAGAATGATGGCTGGTTATAAATGAGTAGCGCTGCTGTTGACGCGTCCAGTCTGCAGTTTACCACAAACATGGAAGGCAAAAATAAAACGGCTCTGCTCGTATGAGAAGTTTTTCATTTCAGCCTGAACATAAAAAAAATTTTGTAACTCCTTTCCTTTTGTTTCTCTCTCACCTGAAATCCATAAAAGCCACATTTTTGCGGCTATAAAATGAGATAAAGCGAAGAAGATGAAGGTGTTTGAAGGCTTCTGTCGTTTCTTCTTTGCAGCAGCTCAGCGTGACAGAAGTGAAGGTCGACAAGGTGCAGGTCAGCGGAGTTGGAAACACAACGTTTGCCGTTTGTTTGGACCAGGATGAGAAAAAAATACTCCAAAGCGTCACCAGGTACGGCATCGGATGCTATGTGGACAGAAAAGTCAATAAACTGATTTTTAAAGAGAAACGATAGTTAAAAAAAAAAAAAAATGAATCCACTGGACTTTGTTTCCAAGTTTGAGACGTTTTCCTTTACATCACTTTTTCAATTCAAAATGTCAGAAATAGAGTTGAGTTCGAGGCTAAATACACGGACCAAAAAGGCCTTGATTTTTTTTTTAGTAAACAAACAAATTGAAACTGAAGAACAGATCCAACCTTTTGGAATGGGGGTTCGTCCATTTCCTATTGGTCTGTCTACATAGCCTCGAACCCAACCCTATTTCTGACATTTGAATTCAAAAAGCGATGAGAAGAGAAACGTCTTCAAACTTGGAAACAAAGTCCAGTGGATTGTTTTTTAAAGTCGTAGGGAAATCATATTTAAATGTTAAATCATTCTGGCTTAATATATAAATGTACTCTTTCTCAGAAAATGTTGTCCAAAAAGTTAGAAAATTTCTATTTAAAAAAAAAAAATCTGTCTTTAAAGTTTTTTTTTTCCGTTATCTTCTGCAGGCCAGTTAGTTCTACGTCAGCCTGAACACCTAAATTCGGCCAATCATATATCAACGCTCATCTGTCAATCAAATGTTTTCGGTCATAGCATCTTGATTCATGTGTCGCAGCTAATATACGCAACGGTTGAAACCAGAATCCTTTCCTTTCCCATTGAGTTGCGTCCCAGTGTTCACGGGGATGGACGTCTGTGTCTTCGGCAGGCGTAGAGCTAACAGAACTGGCAGCGTTGCGAGGCAAGGGCTCAAACATGTACGGCTGGAAGCCTTCTACACCAAACCAAGCTTCTGCCGCCCTGGCGTCCTCTTCCACAACATCTTCGTCCCCGCTTTCCTCCTCTAAATAAAAAATGGATGACGGAGGAGACTCAGCCACGACCTCCGACACTAAACTCTCCTCCTCTTGCATGTTTCCGCTGTCCATAGCGTTCCTTGACAGCGTCGTTTCTAAGGCACCAATTTAGTGCTACTTGGTCCCAATGGAATTTCCCATTGGGAACCTGCTAGCACTAAGATGCTAACTGGTTAGCAAGATGCTTCCAACAAACCGGACACAACCAAAGTTGCTTGCGAACATTCTGCCACAACAACCCCGTCCCCTTGATAATCGACCAATCACATTCACTTTATTCACTGGTGTAAAGTCGGGCACCACTGGGAGAATTCGGAAGCGCTGCATTTAGAACAGCCGCTTTCTCACAACTTTAAAAAGACACTACACAATTGCGACTGTTACTTTCTTCTTGAGGAGCCAAATGATGCAGAGGTGATTTTTGTAGATTTAATGAAGTGATCTTCACCAGCGTAGACACGACTGTTTGCATCTTGTGGTATTTCCTCTTAAATTCTGCCGGTTTGGTTTCTTCTGGCTCGTGATCGAGGCTTTTCTCTGACCTCTGTGTCCTCCTGTCTTATCCAGGTGTGAAATATCCGTGTGCTACAAACCTGACAGCTCCACCGACTGGAGGCTGAGAAAATCCCAGGCCTCGGCTCAGATCCAGCCTCTCAACCCCACCTTCTGCTCCCTGCTCTGCCTGCCCATTGTGACCTTCAGCGGGGCTTTACCCTGAAAGCTCCCCCTTCTGCATCCATCAGAATAAGAGAATCCTCTCTTATTCGTCGTAAACTTTGCACACGGCTCAGAAGGAAAAACATGCAGGGAACTCTCGATCCAACATGTCCGACCTCGCACCCCAGGCTCAGCCGTCCTTGAATCAGATCAGAATATCTCGCCTTATCTGTGCAATGCAGTCCTTCTGTTATGAAGAGAACTTTTCAAGTTTCACAGTCAAGGTTTCACTTCCTTATTTGTTGTTTTTCGACAGAACTGACTTTAACCGCGGTGACGTAGCAGTGTATGATGGTTGATCAGGGTAAATATTCTTTCTCAGGTGAAACCAGCATTACCTTCACCTGTTTGGTGAAATAAGTCCAACACACTGGAACTGTTTTTATCTTGATCAGCCTACTTGACAATCGATTCTTAACTATATGCAGATTGTTTGACAGAATCTGAGAAAGCACACTATAGATGTACATTTTATGCTCTTAAGATATTATTTCATGTACTATAACTTTTACTAGATGCTGTCATGTGTTTGTTTTTTAATGTAATCTGATAATATTTCTCCCAAGGAGTTACTATTGTCACAGTTTTAACTGCAGCTATAAATATGACCACCAGGGGTCACTATTGACTTTCCATTAAACTTCCACTCTATGTTTAAAATCATTTGAACTTGAAATTCTGACAGTACTGTAATAAATCATGGAAAATAAAAATCTCAGTCCGACTCCATAAACGATAAAGTCAACGGATGGATATTATGATGATTTCAAATGGACATTTAATGCAACTGATTAACTGCACTTTCTAAAAATGTATCACAGCGGGTAACAATAAAATATATTTTTTAATTTGTTGTTGTTTTTTTCTTTTATACATATATTTGTGGTATTTTACCCAGAATAAAATAAAATAATATAAATAAATAATCAGCACAAGAGCCTCACAACCTCCTCTTGTCGTAATACAGCATTTAGAAAAAAATAAATATATATATTTATATCCACAACTTACAGTGGATGTTAGATTAATTTTAATTATATTTAATTTTTAATAAAAATATAAAATCCTTATATATTCTGAAAAAAATTACTAATTACAAACCCTTAAACCTTGAAGTTTGGTTAAAACATTTTGCACATAAAGCATCCATTGGATAAAGGAACATTTCTTTGGGATATTGAAGCAACTGAACAAAAAAAATGTAAATCTAAGTCAGTATTTTTTAAATTTGGTGCAGTTTTTCTTGAATTGAGTAGGTAAGTGTGAATGGAATAAGACAATTTACATTTAAAATAAGAAAAAAATAACTGCGGTATTTCATGTGCATCGTATCTCATATTTTAAGGCTAAACATCTAATGTAACCTGCTCAAATTAAAGGTAAATACACTTATTCTAAGATTCTTTTCACTCATTTTAGGATTGCTTTTGCAGTGTAACCCTGACTCTAGTCTAAACCCTTCATAGGTCACTCAGGGAAATACTTTGAATATCGAAATTTCACTCCAAGAGTCTAATTGGAGGACAGAAAAAGACCTTAATACTTTTTAACTTTCAAAAACTATATTTTGATGGTAAAAATTAAGGTCAGTGTAATCAGACACTCACCCTAATATAGGCCTATTTTAACCTTTTTTTGCTGAACTTGTTACAGTTTTTAAACCTCATTTACAGTACGTAATATATCATACAATATATCAGACCTCACTGAGAGACGGGGGGGGGGGGGGGGGGGTGCTCCGTTTGTAAGGGGGATGCAGGTCATAATAAAACAGTAACTTCACCTATAAAGGGTTAAAATCCCTTCTGCATCTGAATTTATTTACAGTATGAAAGAATTTCTGTTTGTACTGATTCTAAATTGGGCAGAAGATGTATTTTGAATAAATGCATCTTCTTTGACAAGCATGCTCAGGTTGACAGTTGCCTTTTGTATCTATGCTTCTTTTTCTATGTCTGCTTCTGTCTCCTTGAACCCCAGTGGGCCTCAGCAGATGGCCGCTCACACTGAGCCTGGTTCTGCTGGAGGTTTCTTCCTGTTCAAAGGGAGTTTTTCCTCTCCACTGTCGCTACAAGCATGCTTAGTGTGAGGGATTGCTGAAGAGTCAATGAGTCGATGCAATCAGCTGGTTTTCCTTAGATAGAAAACTTTGAATCAATCTGACTGGATGATCTGGTGAACTGGAAAGTGACCTGAGATGACATGATGTGAATAGCAGCTATAGAAATAGACTGAATAGAAATTATGCAGTAGAAAGAAAAGTTTTTTTATTAATTGTTTTTTGTGCCGCTGCAGAGATACTGCCTCAGGTTTCTCAAAGTGTGTTTAGTTTATGTGTAGGAAAAATGTCATTTCAATGGTAGGACTTTTTAAAATAAATATTGATGATAGTGTTTTATTTCAACTTTTTTCATGCCTATAGGTTAACACACTAACATGGCTGTTTATATACGGTCAACTATGAAAAATAAAAAATTTTGTGAACTCTCAACAGCGTTCTTAAATGCAAAATGTGTGCTTGAAGATCATGCAACAGCTCAGTGGTTTCACCACCGCATGGAGCATCAGCAGTAACGTCACAAACTCAGCGCTTTGCAAAAAGCAGAACTTTGCCACAACTGATCGGGTTACCGTTGCACTTCTGCAATGTTTTATATCAGGATGTTATACGAAAACAAAATGGAGAAAAAATGTAAAGGGTAAGAAAGAAGGAAGCTTTACTGATAGCTGAGTCTCCTTTGGGTTTTGACTAGGCCTTTCTGACATGTAAATAGTCTGATCTAATAATTCCACTGTAGCTCTGTCTGTCTTTAACCAGATGGAGTTTTCTCCAGGGGGGGCTATAAATTAAAAGTAGACGTATCACACCAGTATATTTATATGAATGTCAACAACAAAAAACATGATGAAAACACTGAATAAAAACAAAACATAATTTTATGTCCAGGTTTACTTTTTGTCCATAAATCTTGTCCTTCTGAGGCTGTGAAGGTTAATCTGTGTTTTGCTCCAATACTGGGTCACCTAAAAAAAATATGGTTTAATAATGGAGAAACTATTGGTCAGCTTTATACTTTTTAAAAATATACATATAAAACTATTTTCTGAGAATGTGTTTATGTAAGAGCAACTATGCAAATGAACAAAACTCTAGAAAAAGTCTATGCTGACTATATTCTATTATTTTCCATGGGAATCCCAGATTGTTCATTTTTATGTTTTAAATCAGTCCTAGCTGTCTTTATCCCTGCTGGATCAGACACTGACGTTTGAAAAAGGAGGCAGAGAAAGTAGGATAAAGCTTTAGCCTCGCTGCATGCAGTTAGCCTCGCTGCATGCAGTTAGCCTCGCTGCAGGCAGTTAGCCTCGCTGCATGCAGTTAGCCTCGCTGCATGCAGTTAGCCTGGCTGCAATCAGTTAGCCTCGCTGCATGCAGTTAGCCTCACTGCATGCAGTTAGCCTCGCTGCATGCAGTTAGCCTCGCTGCAGGCAGTTAGCCTCACTGCAGGCAGTTAGCCTCACTGCAGGCAGTTAGCCTCGCTGCAGGCAGTTAGCCTCGCTGCAGGCAGTGAGCCTCGCTGCATGCAGTTAGCCTCACTGCATGCAGTTAGCCTCGCTGCATGCAGTTAGACCTGCTGCAGGCAGTTAGCCTCACTGCAGGCAGTTAGACTCGCTGCAGGCAGTTAGCCTCACTGCAGGCAGTTAGCCTCACTGCATGCAGTTAGCCTCGCTGCATGCAGTTAGCCTCGCTGCATGCAGTTAGACCTGCTGCAGGCAGTTAGCCTCACTGCAGGCAGTTAGCCTCACTGCAGGCAGTTAGACTCGCTGCAGGCAGTTAGACCTGCTGCAGGCAGTTAGACTCGCTGCAGGCAGTTAGACTCACTGCAGGCAGTTAGCCTCACTGCAGGCAGTTAGACTCACTGCAGGCAGTTAGACTCGCTGCAGGCAGTTAGCCTCACTGCAGGCAGTTAGACCTGCTGCAGGCAGTTAGACTCGCTGCAGGCAGTTAGACCTGCTGCAGGCAGTTAGACCTGCTGCAGGCAGTTAGCCTCACTGCATGCAGTTAGCCTCACTGCATGCAGTTAGCCTCGCTGCATGCAGTTAGACCTGCTGCAGGCAGTTAGACTCGCTGCAGGCAGTTAGACTCGCTGCAGGCAGTTAGCCTCACTGCAGGCAGTTAGCCTCACTGCATGCAGTTAGCCTCGCTGCATGCAGTTAGCCTCGCTGCATGCAGTTAGACCTGCTGCAGGCAGTTAGCCTCACTGCAGGCAGTTAGCCTCACTGCAGGCAGTTAGACTCGCTGCAGGCAGTTAGACCTCCTGCAGGCAGTTAGCCTCACTGCATGCAGTTAGCCTCACTGCATGCAGTTAGCCTCACTGCATGCAGTTAGCCTCGCTGCATGCAGTTAGACCTGCTGCAGGCAGTTAGCCTCACTGCATGCAGTTAGCCTCGCTGCATGCAGTTAGACCTGCTGCAGGCAGTTAGCCTCACTGCATGCAGTTAGCCTCACTGCATGCAGTTAGCCTCGCTGCATGCAGTTAGACCTGCTGCAGGCAGTTAGCCTCACTGCATGCAGTTAGCCTCACTGCAGGCAGTTAGCCTCACTGCATGCAGTTAGCCTCGCTGCATGCAGTTAGCCTCACTGCAGGCAGTTAGACTCGCTGCAGGCAGTTAGCCTCACTGCAGGCAATTAGCCTAGCCTTGGAGCTAAACCAGGTCCTGGAAAAAGACGTTTCTGCACCATTTCTCTCTCTCTTTCTAAAATGCGTCTCCAACTCATGCGACTCAACCTGTCAATCACCCACAAAACGTCAGCGCTGTGGCAGGAGGCGGGGAGCAAACACACTTCCTGTCACCTCAGGGCGCAGCTCTCCTATTAATGAGAGTCGATGGGCAAAGATTTTTGCATCCTAGTGTGGAAATACATCACTAATCTGACAGAAAATGGAATGACACAATGTCATTACAGATTAAATATTTACCTTGCACATCTAAAATATATATTTATGTATATATTTCGAAATATTTTACACTTTAATTTAAAATGAAATTATAATAAAATGAAATATATATATATATATATATATATATATATATATATATATATATATATATATATATATATATATATATATATATCACTAACATTCTTTTGGATGTGATTGGTTTCACTGGGTTTTTATTTTTAAGATATTAAAGCAAAATTAAAGCAAACTATAATTTCCTAATTATACACCTGAAATATTGTAGTGTTATAAATAACACTACAAATCATTTTTGAATCAAGATAAAAATATAAAAACATCTAGGTGTATAAATAGTTTTTGAAAGCATTCTAAACATCATTTTTGTCATGAGAAACGCTTTAAAGATAGTTTGTGTCATAGTCTTGGTTCTACAATGTTTTCTTTTTTAGTATTCAGTTTAACTTTGCTCCATGATTTCTAGTTTTATTGGTTTAATTCTTGCTTTGTTTTGTTTTTCTGGTTACATTTCAGTTCTCATGTTTTGTTGCCCTCTGCTGCCCTCTAGTGTTGGTCTCCTTATTCCCTAGTTCCTTAGACTGCTCTCTTCACACCTGCTCCCAATCTGCTCGTTAGTCCCCTCTTTGTTCAGTCAGCCATAAATACTCTCCTTGGTCATTTCCTCAGCGCTGGTTCCTCGTCTAACTTCCTCCAACTCCGTCTGACTGTGTCTTCCTCGTCGAGTTTATTTTCCCCTGAAGTCTCCATGGTTTCTGGTTTGTTTTACTTTTCTCATGTTTGATTTTGCATTTTTTGGATTCCTGCCTCAGCTGCTTTTTAACCTTTAATTAAATCTACAAGAAGATCACCTCTGCCTCCCCGCC